TGAAAATTGAAAATAATTCCAAACTCTTCACCCCATTTTAAAAAGCTAATCCAGATTTCCCACATTAATAGTTGAAGCTGAAGTTTTCTTCAGCTAAGACCTGTCAATACTAAATCTGCAATCAGCAGTAAATCTTCCTGGCTAGGCATTTTTGCAGTAAGTTTTTCTTTTCCTTTTTTTTTTTTTTTTCCAGAGGCTCAAGTGAAAAAATATGTTTGCATACATATTAATACAGCAATTCTTGTTCTTTTTCACTTGTGCCAGGAAAAAAAAAAAGAAAAAAAAAAAAAAAATTAAAGTTTTTAAATTTTTTGTTTTTTTTTTGCATAAAGAAAGAAACAAAATAATTGTCTTGCCACCACCCTTCACCATTCATTCTGCCAGGAAATAAGCCACAACACCTGCTCTGTCACTAAATTCCTCCTGCTGTTCTAACACCGGAACACGTATGTGGAGACGCGGAGCCCAAGGAACTATTATTAGATCCTGAGCCCATCTCTGCCAGAACAGAGGAGCTGGTTTAAAAGCACAATTTCTCCTCAGTGCAAATACAACCCCCCTCCACCCCCTATTCATCTGAATGATCTCTATTTCATTAAAACTCTTTCTCGATCAACAATTGAGCAGATTCCATGCGATATCTGCAGGTCTCTTAAGCACAGGAAAAATAACTCCTTGTTTGAACAACCTGATTCATGAAACCTGTACAGTGACCTAGATCACCGGGCTACTGGCGGACATTTGCAAAACCTTTTGTGGTCTTGCTTCCTACTAAGTTGCTTATAGCATATGGGGAAATTTGACCTCCGTACCTTGGCTGTTTTTCAAAAAGTTCTAACATGGTACAAGAGAGCTTCTGTTCTTTAAGCTTTGCCCACAAATAGATACTCCACGCTTGATTTTTCAAGATGAGATCAATGATAAGCAAGAACATCATAGAAACAAGTCAGAAAAATAAGAACACGTTGATGAAAACTTGCACCTCTGCCTTGTGCCTGCTCGCATCCTGGTGGCGGTATTTTTGCGGGAGCTGATAAAGACGTTACATCTATGGATGGGTCTTTGAAGGACAGTTACCTAATCACCACTGTTTATGGGGTGCTAGGCTAGAGCACTGGTACCAGAAGGCTGACATCTATTGTGAAGTTTATGGTCTCCGTGACTTTTACTACTGTAAACGCCTGGGCTAGCTATAAATTGATGTCAACATTAAAGGCCAGATCCTTTAGAGCAAAATATTAATCCACTAATCTATTATGGGTGGCCGGCTTTGAAATACAAACTTTGCAGTCCCAGACCATTAGGTGTTTTCGCCCCCTTGTGGAATTTATTTAGAAGGTCAAAGGAAAGCCATTTCCTTAAGAGGGTTTTTGTTTTTTTGTTTTTTTTTTTTTTGGTGGTGGTGGTTTGTTTGTTTACCTTTTCTGAATGCTTCATTTTCTTTCTTGAAGCAAACAGCATATATTTGAGCAAGAAATTTTTTTTTTATTAAAAGAGATTTCAAAGTAAACACCCTTTATGAAAATAAGAGTATTTTCCTTACCAAAGAACTTAACTTGGGATAAGCGTACATAATTGAGATGTGCCTCACATTTCAAAATATGCATTGGCTAAGGGGTTTTCTTTTATAAAAGTATAATGAGCAAATGCTTTAGCCTGTCAGTTAAAACTGATACTCTGCACTCTCACAACAGAACTGTTGTTTTGGGACAAGTACAAATAATAATGCATTTGATGGTAAGTGTTCGGAAAGGTGGAGGGAAATATCTAGGAATGCAGAATGCGGTTATCTGTGTTGGAATGCGACCAAGCCACAGGCTCTAATCTTGTGAAAGGGCCACAGGATGTTTAATGGGAATGAGTGTTGCTGTCTAATTGATTCAGTAAAATTTACTTTAAAATAAGCTTGGCAGATAACATTGTCTCCAAAGAAAGAAATACATTTAGAATTCAAGGAATTCAGGACTCAAGCCATTGGAAATGTTCTCCTCTCCAACCGTATTGTTTTGCTAGCACAAAAGAGGTGTTACGCAGCTTCAGAGATGGTATTTATCATTTTGGTACTGTACCACTGTCATCAGAATCACAGCTGCCAGGCAGGTTAAAGCAAGACAAGGTTAAAGGTTAAAGGTTAAAGGTTAAAGCAAGGTTAAAACAATGGATAGCACATCAAGTGACTTAGCCAATGAACCCCTATCATCTTGTGTTCTGTTTGTCTTTTCCCCCCAGAATAGAAGAAACAATGGCAATGTCAGAATTTTAATTGCAATGGACTGGCTTAAATTACTTGACCTATTTTTATCCAGCTAGGAGAGAAATGATTCTGTTTTTTCTTGGCAGCAATGCTTATCATTTAAATTAGAAAAAAGAAAGATAAGGACATTTCTCTATCAAGTAGTGTACTATTGGTAAACACTTTTAGTTTGTTTTCTAATAAATAAGATTCCCATATATTTTAGAAAAATTTTGAGACACCTGAAGTAAAGAACTTTTCCCCTTCACTGGAGAACTTAAATTTATGAGGGATGCTAAATAACGAAATGAAAATACTCTAGGAGCTGCTGCGGTGAATTCCCATAGTATTTTGATATTTATGAACATAATAAAAGAAAAACTAAGAGAAATTGGGGTCTACTGTGTGGGGGAACTGAATCCATGGTCCTTGGGAAAGAGAATATCAACCAACACCTTCCTTGCGATCTAGGAACAAATAATGGCTTTTTAGTACCTGGATCCTCATCAGCCGCCAGATGAGCATTAAAGGTGTCACAACCCGCCCCAGGAGCCAGTTGGTGATGCTTTTTGAGAATTCTGCTTGGCTAAACCAACACATGAAGAGTGAACTAAAGCAGATGCAAGACGAATGAGTACTATTACTAGCTTTATATGTTGTTGGCTTTCATTAGGCTGAACTAATCTGAAAGATTAGTGAGGCAGGACATGACATGGGTGAGGACAGTAGGTCACAGGATTCTTGGAATTTTCCCATGGCATCATCATCGTGCTCCACCCTGAAATCCTTCCCCTTCCCTCTACAGTGGAAAGGCTCCTTGATGACATTTTGGGTTGCTGAACAGAGCAGACGAGGGACTGTGGCTCCAAAGGAGCCTGTGGCAACGCAAGGTTGGCCTTGGTGTGCCTTGAAGGAGATATGCAAATAGGCGAGTGGCTTTTGAAAAGTTAATAGTGTTAAAGAATCCTGTGGGTCTATTCTTGAAAGCTGGGTGGGGAGCGAGATTTAGGCTTGAGCAAAAGTCCAACTGGCAGAAAACCACAAAAAAATGTTGTCAGAGGACAGCCAACTCCAGGGTATGGTATTTTATGAACACTTGTAGGGGATAGGATGCTAGAGTGGAGGAAATGTGATCAGGGCTACTAAACCCTTTTCTCTGTGTGTCTCCCCAGGGATCGACAGAAAAGTTGGCCTTGTGGTTTCTTTAGCTTGACCACAGAGCTTGTTTGTTTGTTTGTTTGTTTGTTTTTTAATTTCTGGTAACCCACCATTCCCCCCGCCCTTTGCTTCATGACCATATCTCCACACTGACAAACACATAGCACTTAAATTGTATATAAATATCTTTAGGTCTCCTTGTAAATATTGCCCCATTATATTTATTTTGGATAACTCTTTGAAGGAAGATCCTGGATGCAAAATGATGGCTAGTTCCATATTTCTTCCCTTTATCCGGTGTGTTTAGCAAATATATGCATGATGGGGCCAGTCTGTGAAAAGTGATTGAACTGCTATGCTCCTAATATGAACTGAAAATAAAAATCTAAATGTTTTTTAGATCCCTGTCTGCCACCATGTTTTTTAGGGCAAAGATTTTCAGCTAGCTAGGGCCACCCCTGTAAGAGGCAGAGCAGAATAGGAAGAAGGTATAGGGCAGTAACTTGAAAAAACATTCATATATATATTTGGAAAAATGTTTAAATACATGTTATTTCAGTAAGACTTTTTAAAAAATCTTCTTGACTGATAGAGCATGGATTTTAAACTGGTGAGAAACACTGTTTAGACGACACGATTCTACCAAATCAGAGAAATTCACCCTGCTGCCAGCACCACTTAACAAATCATTTTGTTAACTCAAGTTGCCTGTGACCGAGCTGACTTTGCTGAGCGCCCACTATGTGACAGGCATTGTGGGGGGCACTTTGCATATGTAATCTTATTTAATCCTCACAGTGTTCCTACAAGGTATGTCATGTCATTATTCCAATTTTAGATAAGGAAACTGTTATTTAAAGAGGAAGTAAAATTGTTCAAGGGCAATACAGCTGGTAGGAGGCTAAGTGGTTTTCCAGACCTAGCTTCCAGTACAGTGTTTATTCTGTTTTTTAAATTTTATTATTATTATTATTATTATTATTTTAGTGAGAGAGAGAGAGCAAGGCGGTCGAGGGGCGGGGGGGAGAGAGAGAGAGGGAGAGAGAGAGAGAGAGAGAGAGAGAGAGAGAATCTCAAGCAGGCTCCACACTCAGTGTAGAACCTAACATGGGGCTCCATCCCATGCCCCTGGGATCATGACCTGAGCTGAAATCCAGAGCCACTCAACTGAGCCACCCAGGCGCCCGAGGACAGCGTTCATCCTAATACATGACACTACCATTCTAAACCAAATTACTCTTAATCGTTTTTTTTTTTTCTTTTCTTTTCAAATTACTCGTATTCTTAGATCCCATGATTGTCAGCTCATCAGTTGATTTAATAACGTGCTTCAGGGGGGAAAAACCCACTACATTTTATGTACGCAAATTATAAAGTATACTAACACCATTATGACACGTACCTATCCCTACAGTTGCATACCATTTCCTTTTGGGATTTACAAGATTTGGGTCTACCCTTTTCATACCCAGTCTAAAAATTCTTCAGAATTAAGTTTGGCCCCGACAGACAACTGTGAGACTAGCAGAGGTGGTGAGACTGCCTAATAATCCCTTCTTAACAGCTTTACCTGGTTTACACTTCAAGTCAGATGAAATAATACCAGTGATTTGCATTTCAAATTCTGTTTTTTATTTCTTAATGGAATTACATACTGCTGGATGGTAAATAGTTTCTTTTGCAAAGTAAGCCAACAAAAAACTAAGTAGTTTTGTCAATTCCATAATCTATTACATGAGAATGTCAGTGGCTAAATTCTTCCAAGTAAAGAGGATCATCTCACAACTTGACATACTTCCTGGAAGCAACTATGACTTAACATTGTTTCTAAGGGTCAGGCTGATTTCAGAATATTAGCGTGTATACATACACACACACACACACACACACACATATATATACACACATATACATATACATATATATACATCTTAAAATAAAGAAAATAATAGTATTTAGTTCCTTTACACTTAAATAAGCTTCCTTTATCTATCTAAACTTTCTTGACAATTTAAACTTTCTCTTGCTTTGGTCTTCTATGAAAACCCAAAACTCTTCCATTAATAATTGTAATAAAAAAGAATGTAGAACAGGAGTAAAAACCATGGGTAGTCTTAGCTCTGCAACCAAATAGCTGGGTAATTTAATCACTGCTGACTCAAGTTTCTCCATCAGGAAAATGAAGATATATGTTTAATTAATATATCCTGTATTCAAATTCTCATGAAGGAAACACAAACCCATACGTATCATCTTCTTCCTCGGAAAACTGGAGTGGAATACCACAAACCCCTTCAAAATCTTTATATCATTTCTTGCCATTCTTTTTCCAAGGGAACTGTGAGCTTGGGGATGTGCCATAGATGTGTTCCCAGTCGGTTCGACTCTTCAATGGTTGGAATCATCTCTGTAAATGTCTGCCTTCATGAACATACGGGATTTCTCCATCTGTAAGCAACTACCAAAAAAAATGCCACTTGCAAAGATACAGGTGACTACGTAACGTTCTTTGCTGATGTAGTGGTTGAAGTATATATATTATACATTGAAAATACCTTGATCAATTCTTCATTCAGATTCTGCTCTATTTTCTTACAGATTCATTTCATTTTTCCAACCTGATAACTATCAGATGCAGAATAAACATTTGGTCTCTCTTTCCTTCAAACAACTCTTCCTGAACCATCATCATCATGATCACTGCTACTGTTATTTGTTTTCTGGAAAAGACAATCCTATATGTAAAGCTAAAGTACAGGAACCTAGCAAATGCTAAACGCTTACGCTGGCACTTAAGAGTTTTCAAGCAGGTAAGAGGTACACATCTATGCCCATGTATTTCCTTCTCCCCAACTTCCCAACACACACAGTCTCTTTTTGTTTCATACCACCACATTCCTCCAGTTTGGGGAATCAATTATTTAGCTAGATGACAAATAGAGTCACTGAAAAACAGTTATACAGAGGAAACTGTACACTATAATACATAACTATCCAAGAAACAATTATTGACTGACTTGTAAAAGCAACGAATCTCAAGAACCAGGATAAAATATTACAAGAAAATATTTGTTCCTTTCCCTACTTGGCCACTAGGTGTAGCTGAAGGTCCATAAGTTCATATTTACGCTTCGTCACCGTCTAGACTCGATTGTCACAAGCTTAAAGAACTTGCCTCTTGCCCCTGCAGTGTGTTTTATTAACAGGTAAGATCTTCCACGTGACCTATTATAACTCTCAAAATTAAAGAGAAGCCAAAGACACCTCAGCACACTCTGCCCAAGCACCATTGCTCACCACAGTCTGATAGAAATTGGAAATCAACAAAAGGTATCTTTGAACAGCCTCCACTTCTCCCCCCTTTTATCCCCTTCCATTTCTGAAGTGCTCTCATCCAGCCTTCCATTCACTCAGGTACCAGTGGCTCAATTTTATGCTCTGCTGGGGACGTGTATATCTTAGGAGACAAACACTGGAGAGAGTACAGCATTTAAACTATAAAGGAGGAAGTTCTGAATGGTGGGTTTTTGTGCACCTGTCAGAAAGAGATTTGAAGGCTGCTAGGCCTTTCTCTACCTTTATTTGACCCTTAAATCATTCCCTTCTCCTGATCCTCCTCTTACCTCTCAAGCCAGTCCACTTCAATGTCTTATATGAAACTCTTTGCTCTTAAGTATCGGCGTTCACCAGACTTCTCACCTCACGCCACTAGCCAATTCCATAAATTCCTAAACGTTTCCAAAACAATCAGAAAGGGTTATAATACTAAGGATTCCAATACCTGGATCTTCAGCCCAATCGCTTTCCCAAGTTCTACCTGCACACACACACACACACACACACACACACAATGAATTCTGATAAACATTTAAGCACAGCATGTCCAAGATTCACTCAGTCCTCTCTGCCCCCTGGGTTGAATTCCTGGTAGTGGAACTACCATTCTTCTAGACACACAAGCCAGAAGTCTAAAAATGCTAGACTTCTACCTTCTTATTTACCCCAGCTCTCATCAATCGAATTAATTGGTCAATGCCTTCAATAAGTCCTTTGCTCTGGCTGTCCCTCTACCTGAAATGTGTTTTCCTTCCTGAACCTCCCTTTGCCAAAACTTCCTTCTTCAATGGCCACGTAAATTAAAATGGAAAGTTACTTCCTGCTTTTCCCCATGGGATTCCCCACCCCTTTCAATCCTGCTCAGTTTTTCTCCAGAGTGCTCATGGTGGTTTTCAAATCAGTCTGTAAAGTTCTGGGGACTCATCTCCTCCAAAGGTTGATTCCCTGAATCTGCTACATAACTTCAGAGGCTGAGTCCAAAAACACCATATAGCTTCCTCCTAGTTCTCTTGGGACCTTGTCCTTGGAGCCCTGAGCTGCAGTATAAAAGGTCCAAGTATTCCTGAGGCTGCCAATCCCATGAGGAAGCCAGGCCACTTAGAAAGGCCGTGTTTAGGTGCATCCACCAGCAGGTTCACACCTGGTAGCCAGTAACAACCTCCAGGGTGAGCGAAGATGTCTCCACATGCTTCCACTCTCCAGCTGTTGAGTTGCCCTTAGCTGTAAAGTCTTTCCAGCAGAAGCCCCAGACATTAGACATTATAGAGCAGAGACAAGTCATGCTCCTGGTACCTTTTCAGAATTCCTGTCTCACAGCATCCATGGGCATCATAAAATGGAGAGTCTTGGGGTGATTTGATAAATAGCAATCATAACTAAATAGCACTTGTCACTATCTCACACAATTCATAGTTTACTTTTACAAAATTTTCTTGATTTCTGTCTCTAAATTATGAGCGTTATGAGAATAGGAATTTTTGTCTATTTTCCTCATTATACCTAGAAGAATACTGGTATATGATAGATGCTCAATAAACATTTGTTGACTAAATGAATGAGTCAATGAGTAAATTAATTTATTTCACCTTTACTGTATCATTCTCCTTTCTATTCCCCTCCTATTGTCTTAGTTCAGACCTTATTTCTTACTTAGACTACAATAACTTCCAATCTGGTTTTACTTCCTCCCATTTTACCCCCCTACCACCCCCATGCTTCTTGCTTCAGGAAGAGTTATTTGAAGATATAGACTTGATCCTACTGTCAGGTGAACTGAAATTGTTCATCTATGCAGTCATGTTAATGTCATAATGACCCTGTCTCCCAATGACACGACTGATCAACCATAGGAAAGTAACTGTCCACAGGCTAGCACGTTGGCCGGCCAAGAAAATTCCAACCAAGACACAGGGAAACTATAGTCAGATCACAGTGGTATTTAAACTGAAATCATCTTGAGGTGAGCCCGGGATGTCCTTTTGAGGTTATATACTCACATTGAAGACTGGAGAAACTAGCTTGCAAAAGTCCACAGGAGAGGAACACCTGGTCAGAACAAAGCAATACTAAGAGACCATATGACCCCAAATATAGATGGAGAGAGAATATACATCTGTCCCCAAGAGATGTGTAATTCCCCAAATCAGTACCCATCACACCCAGTTGTGCATTGTTCCTATGAGATATCTCCTGGCTTTATTTTCTCTACCTTGAGTGATTTAAAGAAGAACACCTATTTTATTACTCTATGCTCATGTACATGTTGTTCCTTCTGCCTGGGAGGCTCTCCTCATCTTCATACCCTCGTTGAAGTGTCCTTCAAGATCCATTTCAAGTGTCTTCTTCTCTGAGAGACTTTCCATATGACTCTGTACTTTGTGGCACCCCTATACATTATAGATACCTTCATTTATTTGTATTTATCACACAGTACTATAATTATTTCGTAATTAAGCTCCTCTTTTATAATTTGCAATTGGAATAGTCCCCCTTTATCTGTGGTTTCACTATTCATGGTTTTACTTACCTACTGTCAACATGGTCCAGAAGTAGATGATGACGTGTAAAAGTTCAACAGGAGCCCACGCTAAGTCACAATGCTTACGTCATTCACCTTATTACATAGAAATTTTATCAACTCAAATCATCACAAGAAGAAGGGTGGGTATAGTAGAATAAGATACTTTGAGAGACTACACTCACATAGCTTTTATTACCGTATATTGTTGTAACCGTTCTATTTTATTGGTACTTATTATTGTTAATCTCTTACTGTGCCTAATTTGTAAAATGAATTTTCATCATAGGTGTGTATATCTAGGAAAAATCATAGTATATATAGGGTTTGGTACTATTCATGGTTTCAGGCTTCTGCTGGGGGTCTTAGAACATATTCCAAAGATAAGGGGGAACTACCATATATTTATTAAAAAATTTGTAGCTACAAGTAGCAAAAACCCTGATTTTAGCTTAAATCGTAAGGAGATGTATTAGCCATCCTAAGTCAATGGAAGGAAAGGATCCAAGGTTGGTTGCAACAATGTCAACAGGGACTTGGGTTCTTATATCTCTAATGGGCTAACCTCAGTATTGGCCTTACCTTGTACTGGTGACAGGTAGAATTAGCAGAGCATTTGTGACATATGAACCCAACCATGTTCGAAAGAAAAGTTCTTCTCTTTCTGTGGAAGAGAAAATTTTTCACAGAAACGTTCAGTCCCCTGCTATCATATTACATAACCCCTTCTGAACCAACCACTGAGATTGGTTTTACCATGGGATGGAAGTTACACAGTCGACTGAAACTAACCACTTGGGAGTGGAACAGGTAGACACTGGACAACAACTATATCATTAGAAGAGTTAAAAGCTAAGCTGACCCTTTCTGAAACTGAAGGCAGAGATTTTTTTTTTTTCTGGACCAGAACAGGACTATTTTTAAAGTTGTTATATTTTCAAATAGGTTTTCTTCATATAATAAAGATGTATAGCCAACAAAATTGTATCGTAAATCACTGAGAGCAGGTTTATTTGATAAATGTTAAAATGCTTCCTACGAAGTGATTTGTTAATATAAATAATCGTCTTAAAAAGAAGTATATAATTATGATGACTTCATTTCTAGCCCTCCAAAAATTCCCTTGTTAATATGATTAATAAACAATTTCTCTGAACCAAGAAAATCATGTACATGTTGGCAGGTAATTAATCTCAGGGCAAAATGAACAGAACCTAATATTTATGAACAAATTACTGATAGCTAGCTATAAGGTCCATTTGCACAGTAAGATACACTGGCCCATATACCAAAGCCGAAAAGAAAATGACATTAGTCTGGTAACATTGAAACACAGGGGATAAAAGAAATCTAACACACAACATCTTTTGTTCTATCCAGTCATTGTTTGCTCTACCCTTCCCCAAAATGCCCCTTCGTGCATTCCAGTCATGTACATCCATTTGAGAACTCCCATGATCTTAGGACCACAGTGATTGGTTAGGACTACCCAGATAGACTCACTTGATCCAATCATCGTAACTTATCCTCCTGGCTGCAGCTAATGTGTCCGCAAATAACACTTGACCCAATGAAAACCTTTCTCTGGGAGTTTTTAACTTCACAATGGAGATCAAGTTTTAATCCCTCTCCAGTGATGAAATTGAGCCTGGAAACTGCTGTGAGCCATATTTCCAGCTGTGTGGAAGAAGCTAGTGTCAGACAAGGAAGACGGTATGAAGAGAGAAGCAAAGACAAAAAAGTGATCCGTGACCATCTGAGTCCCTGAGGTCTAGTTGCAATTTTGCCTTTCCTGGAGTTTGGTTACATGAGACAATACCATTTCCTGTTTCCGAGCTAATTTTAGTTGGGCTCAATTATGTGAAACAAAATCGTCCTGACTAATACATACGAACACAAATTTCATCTCCATTTGGGTTCTTTTTTTTTAATGTTTCACAGAAATATGTTTGAGGGGGAACTTCTATTTTAGACC